CGCACTGATGCAGTAATTCATGCAAAAGGAGCCCCTACCAAGTATTGAGTACATGTACAGTAAATGAACATACTTTCCAGAAGGCCAACAATTCACTAAAATTTTTTTTTTATTGGTCTTATGAAGTATTCTAATTTGTTGAGATAGTGAATTGGTGGGTTTTTGTTAAATGTGAGCCAACATCATCACAATTAAAAGAACCAAAGACTTAAACTACTTCAGTCTGTGTGCACTGAATTTATTTAATACACGAGTTTCACAATTTGAGTTGAATTACTGAAATAAATGAACTTTTCCACGACATTCTAATTTATTGAGATGCACCTGTATATCGTGATCAGAGGGATGTGGGTGGCCAAGTAATGCCATTATTATTACTCAAATCTTATTAGTAATTAGTTACACTACTAGTTGAGGCAAAAAATAATATATAAACCCAGCTACAGTCATTTATGAAATTAATGAGATTCTGAGACTTTAGCCTGGATTTCATATCTGTGTCTCTGCAGCACAGAAGCAGTGTTGAGTCGCTGGGGGATATTTGTAGCAATAGCCAACAATACATTGTATGGGTCACAATTATACATTTCTCTTTTATGCCAAAAATCATTAGGATATTAAGTAAAGATCATGTTCCATGAAGATATTTTGTAAATGTCCTACTGTAAATATATCAAAACTTAATGTTTGATTAGTAATATGCATTGCTAAGAACTTCATTTGGACAACTTTAAAGATGATTTTCTCAATATTTAGATTTTATTGTCCTATCCTAACAAACCATACATCAATGGAAAGCTTATTTATTCAGCTTTCAGATGATGTATTCATCTCAATTTCACAAAATTGACCCTTATGTCTGGTTTTGTGCTCCAGGGTCACATATATTTCTGTAACTAGTCGCAGCCCAAAACGGAGAACCACTGTAACAACGCCATCCTGGAAACCAGCTTCTAGAATAAAAAACACTTCATTTCACACAACTACGCTGATCAGTCTGAAACCTGCAGCTCTTCATGTGTCGATGTAATCAGCTCTGATGCTTTCTATTGTTGGGGTTTTTAAAGCGGCGAACAAACGCGATATCCAACGCTATAATAAATGTTTATATGAGAAGCAGCGCTTCATCTCAGGCCTAAAACAACATCTTCTTCTTCTTCTTCTTCTTCTTCGCTGATGTGAAGCTGCGGCGTAAAAAGCAATAAACAGGAAATCGCTCGTGTTCCGGAGGAAGAGGAAATATTAATCCCCACAAACTCATCAACTTCCACATCCGGCGGACGCGATCGCGCTGCATGTAGTGTTTCTTACCGTGAGAACAGAACCGGAACCGAACCGAACCCGGTAGAAACGAAACAATAATACAGCCGCGGGCACACACACACACACACACACACAGAACACCTCCACCCTCTGCTGCAGCAGCCCCGGAGCTGTGGCTGCTTCATATTGCGAATCATTTTTGTGCTATGTATATTGTATCGTGATTTCGTTAAACTCTTGTAAAGCGGAGTGTCTGCGGCGCACATGCGCACTGACTCTAGCGCGCAGGAGACGCAACATTGTATCTTCTCATTTCCGGTGAGTCTCCTCATCCTCATCATCACTCATCCTCATATTTAGTTTATGAGACCTGATCAATAATACAGCAGTGCACACACTGAATATAAACGTGTCAAACAATGCTGGCACAAACAGTGTTCAACGACGCAAGAATGAGTTTAAACACACAGAGCTGATTTATGTGCGAACATATAAACATTTATAATAAACGCGTCTTTTGTCAAGCGCTTTAAAGTTGCGCGTGTTTAAATGAAGCTTCCGGGGTGTGAGTCCGCGCACTTCCGCGTCTGCTCGAGCTGTTTAGGGTCTTCAGTGCGGGTCAGTGCGGGTCCCGGCGTGTTCTCCGACAGGCCAGAGTTCAGGGTGAGCCCACACGCTTCACTGCGAGCTCGCCGATCATCCAGAACAGCCAGACATGTGTTTACTGCACCTCTGAGAGTCAGCAGTGCTCTGATTGTGTGATTAGAGGCTTGTTTACTCGCGGTCAGTGCTGGGGAGTAACGTTACATGTAACGACGTTACGTCATTTAGTTCGAAAAGCGGCTATTTTAAGGTGTCCTTGTTACAGTGTAATTCTATATTTAGTACTGAGTAATATTAACTACATGTACTTACTATATGGTCAGGGTTACTTGCATGTAATTATGCATAATGTATTGTTATTATTATAGTAAGTACATGTAACTTGTAACAAGGACACCTTAAAATAAAGTGTTACTGAAAATAAATGTAACTGTAATCAGTTACTGAGAAAAAATGATCTCAAAGTAAGAAGAGGTGCTAAAGTCTGAGTTTGTGCTGGCTGTGCTTGACATCAAATGTAATCCGTTACATTACTTTAATACAGTAACTGAAATAGTTACACTACTGTTACATTTTAAATAGAGTAACCTGTTACGTAGCGTTCCCAGCACTGTCTGTTGTTAGTGTCATTCTTCTGTCATTGATCGGCTTACTCTGATGTTTTGAGTCTGCTTTGGGATGCTTGCAGGAGTATGAGCTGAAATGCCGTCGGTGTCCGCTGGAGTGAAGGATCTGTATCTGTCCTCATCACTGAGCGACCTGAACAAGAAAGCAGACATCAAACCAGATAAAACCAGCACCAGACAGTAAGTGTGGACACATTCGTGTGTCAGATTTCTCAGAAGCAGAAGCAGCAGCGGTCTGCACTCATCGCTGATGTTTGTGTGTTTCAGCTATGTCCAGAGCGCGTGCAAGATCTTCAAGGCGGCGGAGGAGTGTCGTCTGGACCGCGATGAGGAGAAAGCGTATGTGCTGTACATGAAGTACCTGTCGGTCTACGACCTCATCAAGAAGAGACCGGACTTCAAGCAGCAGCAGGTACAGCCCTAGTGCATTGTGGGAGATTTTAATGGTGGAGACGTGACACTGAGGATGAGATCAGTGTGTATTATACACATATCTGTGTCCCTGCAGCACAAAAGCAGAGTTAAGTCGCTGGGGGATATTTGTAGCAATAGCCAACAATACATTGTATGGGTCACAATTATACATTTCTCTTTTATGCCAAAAATCATTAGGATATTAAGTAAAGATCATGTTTCATGAAGATATTTTGTAAACGTCCTACCGTAAATATCAAAACTTAATGTTTGATTAGTAATATGCATTGCTAAGAACTTAATTTGAACAACTTTAAAGATGATTTTCTCAATATTTAGATTTTTTTGCACCCTCAGATTCCAGATTTTCAAATATTGTCCTATCCTAACAAACCATACATCAATGGAGAGCTTCTCAATTAAAAAAACTGACCCTTATGGTTTTGCGGTCACATATTTGTATGATTATTCGGCTGATGGTGTAAACGCTCAAGTCTTCGCTCAGATGTTGTGAACGTGTCGATGTCCTGAAATGTGATACGCTGTCGTTTGATGGCTTTCAGGATTTCTTCCTGTCTATGCTCGGACCAACCAGCTTTAAAAAGGCCATCGAGGAGGCAGAGAAACTTTCAGAGAGTTTGAAGCACCGGTCAGTTTCACACACACAGACACACAGACACACACACACAGAGACACAGACACACACACAGACAGACAGACAGACAGAGACACAGACACACACACAGACAGACAGAGACACACAGACAGACAGACAGAGACAGACACACACACAGACAGACACACACACACAGACAGACACACAGAGACACACAGAGACACACAGAGACACACACACTCTAACACTCACACACGCACGCACGCGCGCAAACCTGTACACACATGTCTGGTCAGCTATCCTTGTGGGGACTCTCCATAGGTGTAATGGT